CGTCAAACATTTAAGCAGACAAAAAAATATAATTTGACAGTTAAGGAAATTAGGATCGCATGAAAGCCGCTCTTTTTGTGTCTCGAACGCGCTATTTATTTATCTGAAAGGATGCACATTGTATCAATTTACAGTTTTACATTTACGCTGCCCGGGGCCGGACTGCTCAGAAGTTGAGAGAATTAATTACTTTTTTTATTATTATTTATAAAGTAATCTATCTGTAGAGAGAGAAGCGGAGAGTGCCCCGAGCAATGTCCTTTAAACTCGGTCCTGGCTTGCATTATCTACACTGCCAGCGCGCACACAAACCCGCAACAAACGAAAATTGAGCTACTGTGCGCATGTTGGGGAGAGAGAGGGGGAGGTGGCACAGTGTGTTTAAAAAGACAGAAAAAAAAAGTTAAGTGTGTGCTATCGACTGGCCGCGGCTCTAAAGCGTTACGCTGCAGAAACTGCCTTCTCTGTGTCACTCGGATGTGATATCAGACAGCCCGGGGATGTTGTTTGTCAGTCTGGGTGATTGGCAGACTTCGGCGCTTCCTCTCGCCACCCGTATCGGATAAAAAGGTTACAGATGTGGAAGGAATATTGATTTTTATTTAGTGATGGTAATACGGCAGGAAATAATAGATTACAAATACTAGCCGAGCCCGGCTTCAAATTCCAACTGCCTATTTCTCTTTAAGTCTTCTGCACTAGTTCTGCCCCGTCTCTTGTGGTTCAAAGCAGGGCGTCTGAAGGTTAAATGACTGTTTCCTGTGTTAGCAAAAGTAACTTTAAGGACAGCTAGAGAAAACACACGGGCTGTCCTTCTTGGAAAGGGGGCGAGTGACCTGAAATAGGAGACCCTCTCACAGTCAATTTGAAAGGCTTTTTAAAATATACGCGTTACAGCACAGTGTTATGATATGTTATATATATATATTCTCAGTTTTTCTCAACTTTGTAAATTCAGTCATTCCCTGAGCATGTGAGGTAAGACAAACCGCAACGCGTTTCAAAAAGTTTGTATGATATTGTTTTAAAGTTGACCTATACGACAAGTACCAAAGATTTGAATCTTAATGAATAACCAAAAATGTCCACAGTGGATTTTGAGAGAGGTTTTGGTTCAATACACACATGATATGCTTCTTATTTTTTGTAGTTTTACTTTTATCCTATTGGAGTAGAAATGCATACTGTCCCTCCAGTATATAATGTCCCGCTACATTTGACTAATTTTACCATATTCACATTCATATCCAGTCTTGGTGCTGCATTACTCGTAAGACTTTTTCATCAAAGTCCCATGTCATAGCTACCACCACCCCACCCCATGCAGCGACATCACTTGACTTTTTTTTTTTGTCAAAAATGGTTCTTGTCAAGCCAGAAATGACAGCATTGACTCTGAATCATGCCTCGCCGCTCTCTAACAATTGCTCATTGGTCTTTTGTTCCATTTTTTTTTTATGTGTGTGTGTTTGCCTAGCTAACAGGGGGCTGAGAAAAACGCAGAGAGAAGCTGGGGTTTTTTTTTCCTCCTTTTTTCCCCTGCTGTGGGCCGTTGAGTTTCCTGATTGTTGTGTGTTGGAAACTGAACTTGGGATGGCGGGGCAGAGGAGCTGTGGGCTGTGGCGTCCCCCCCCACCCCCGCGTGGCGAAGAAGGGGGCGGCCAGTGGCCCAACATGCTGCTCGAAAGGCCGTATTTACCTCTTGCCGCACCGGAATACTTTCAATTCGCCACTTTAATTGATGTCAATAAGGTTATGCTAAATTTGGAGATTTGAATAATTCCACTTTCAGAGCAATAATGGGTCGCTGGGGCGAGGGGCCGGGTAACCACCCGCCTGAATAGATCTCCTGCCCCTCCTCTCTCTCTCCCAATATTCCACTTTGACATTTCCGTGTGCTCGCCCTGCGCTCATCTGATTAAAAACGAAACCCCTGTGGAGCCGCAGTTCCCTTTAAGTGTGGGCTGTGTACTGCATACAGCTGTTTTATTACCGATATGGTTATTAAATCAATACAATTAAATCAAATACATATAGAAATGTGCTTGAGGCGGGGAAGCATTTTTCTTTTCATTTTTCAAGCTGCATGGCTGCAAAGAATGTAAGGAATCTTGAAGCCTGCTCACCGCAAAAACTTTCAAACTTAGGATGCGTTTCTGGACACAGCAAGCCGTGATGCTCCAGAAAATAAACCGCTGTGCTGCCTTGTGTCGCAGAATCAGAGGGTTTTTAGTGTTGGTTTAGCACGGGCCTGGAAGACAGGGGGCTGATGAACAGTGCTGACCGGACACTGGGTTGTCCCAGTCTGTGAAGGAGTGCGCAGGCTTGCAATTAAAATTGCATTAAGAAGTCTCAGTCTGAGAAGAGTGCCTGCAATGGGTGTTTAATTAAAAAAAGCCACAGTTAAATGGAATCCAGATCTGTTTGCCCTCAAGAACCCCTGTCCACCCTGTGAAATAAGCCAGTGTGTGGCCTACAGTCTCATGACTTTGTCTGCAAGATGAAGTAGAGCTTTATCTCCTGTAGAACCTGCTCCTGTGTGCTGGTTTCGTCTTTGTGGTTTTGCTTGTACCAAACATCCAAAGCATTAACCTCATTTCATAGTTGAGCCAACTTTCAAACAGAGAAATCATGGATCCTGTTATGTGCTCCGTTAATATTTGTATGTATCAGTGAGAGGAGGTGGGGATCTGAGTTCATATGTGAAATTATATGATAATTCCAGATGATTTATGACCATGGTATATACCTAGATCAAACACAGCAAAGCACTTGTCCTATTCCAAGTACTGCATATGTTCTGGGTCATATTCCGAAACAAACGAGAAGGTTTTTGTTTGATTATGTCTGCACATTATGAAATGTGCAGAACATCAGAACACAAGAATCAGGACTTGGCTCTTGCTGTGTTTGTGGCATTGCCTCCACAGTGATCTCTCCTGCAGGAAGTCTCATAGTAAGGCACCATCTTCATGGAAAATGGTCCGTCTGTATGGGACCCTGACTCTTTGACCAGCGCCATGATGGGCTAATTGGTTTAGCAGGCTGAGTATGAAGAAGGCCAAAGGTCAGTTGAGCGTGGCGAGTCAGAACGTGAACCTGATGTTGGGGAGGATGCTTTTGTGTTGACCGTCAATGAGGAGCATGTGTGGGCCAGCTCTCCCTCGGCACGCTGCCCCATGAAGCCTGCACGCTGCTCTCCACAGCAAGCCTCAGACCTGCCTCCATCCCGGCTTCCCTGCTCCTGCCACAGCAAAGCAGGACAAAGAACTGTGTTATCAAGCAGTCCCTGTGTGTGTGTGTGGTGTTTAACAACGACTGCAAGGACAAACATGTCTCTAAGGTTTCTATGGCTTAACCTTGCCTTAAAAGATTGGGCATTGTCTCGCAGTTCACTCTATGGTATAACCCCATGGTTTCTGCTGCAAGAAGGCATGTACCCCACTCTTTACTCAAGCAAAGCAAATTAGACACTAGTCATTAATATATACTGGCTCTTTGTTGAAAAATTGCAGCCATGTGCTATGCAAAAAGAGATTTTAATCATTAATGTTGTCTGTAAAGGTAGATTTCTTGATTTTGTTTGGTATTTTCCCTAAGAGTGTGTATTAGTGCTCTTCAGTGCATCTAGTGTTTTCAATTACTTAACCATCCACCAGAAGTATAAAAGTGATTTTGGTGAAGGTAAGAGCACAAAGGAGCCTATTCTGGAAACATTGGGTTTAATTCAGGACTGAGGGCACA